TTTCAGTAGATCAGATCCAGTCACTTAAAGCTCTACCTGCTGGGGCAGCATACACCTCCACTTCACACAGGGTGAGAGTCTTCTTCTGTCCAGGAAGAAACACGTTCACAAAGCGACCCTCCATGCTGCCTCCATCACACTGGTATGTGTAGGTTTTACCCGCTTTGATATGTGAGATGGAAGCACACCTGACAGCAGAGAGTGTGGGGGCAGTATTATGTTAGTACTATGGACTTCCAGTTAAGGAGAAAGTAAAATCAAGTAATTAACTAGTCCTGTGGTGGATAATATGTATATTGAAATTGCTGAAACATTGCTGTTCAAGTTATTCTAAAATAAAACAAACAAAGAAAAAACCTCACAATGAACATTGACTGATATAAATTCATCATTACCTGGGATTATTGTTTCCATTGTTCTCCAGTGAGTTTCCTATTCTGACCTCAGCTCCATCCAGTCTTTCAGCACAGCAGTCTCCTCTGTTGGTGACTTTTACAGCAGTGATTGTAAAGCTTCGCTGCAGGTCCACCCTCCACCAGGGGTTGGTCTCGTCTTCAGCCGTGTGGCTACAGAACCCATTGCTATAGAACGAGTTCCGTCTGCCATCGATGGCTTTGGACGCAGTGGCAAAAGAGAGTGTAGATGACTGGGTAGCTTCTCCTTTGAGTGCCACATTGGGTAATGGGTATCCTTGAAGGAAAACCAAGAAGACAATAATTTCTTTTGGTTGGGCTCTGACAACCCTTACTGGTAAAAAAAACCCAAAAAAACCCAAAACAAATAAGGATTAAAGCATCATTTATTTGTTCAGTAATCAAAAACACCCTGACACAAAAGCCTTCTTTTGTACTTTTACTCAGTCACTTATAGTCTTCCTTATCAGCATCAGAATTAGTGGTGCAACGGATCAAAAATCTCACGGTTCGGATCGGATCACGGTTTTAAGTCATGATAGGATCAATTTTCGGATCAGCAAAAATAGAAAAAAAAGACAAAAATTCGACTCGCCATTTATTTATTTAAGTATTTTTTGCCTATTAAAAAACATTCAACTGAAGACTCATTCTATTCACTTATACAAAAACAAATTAAGGTGCATATGGACATTATGGACCATGCTGGGCAGCCTCTGCATCCTCTGCACA